GGATTTTGAGATGAAGTATGAGATCATTTATTTGTTGGTTTTTTTCTTTTATTAAGGAATGAACTCCAAGCAATGAATTTTCCTCTTAGAACTGCTTTCAATGTGTCCCATAGATTCCGATATGTTGTGTCTGTGTTTTCATTTATCTCTAAGAATTTTTTGATTTCCTCCTTGATGTCTTCTATAACCCATTGATCATTCAGTAACCTATTGTTCATTCTCCAAGTGATGTATGCTTTTTCCTTCCTTCTTTTATCGTTGATTTTCAGTTTCATTCCATTATGATCAGATAAGATGCATGGTATTATCTCTACTCCTTTATATTGTCTAAGAGTTGCCCTGTGACATAATATATGATCTATTTTTGAGAAGGATCCATGTGCTGCTGAGAAAAAAGTGTAACTGCTTGATGTTGGGTGGTATATTCTATATATGTCAATTAGGTCTAGGTTATTAATAGTGTTATTGAGTTCTATAGTTTCCTTATTCAACTTTTGTTTGGAAGATCTGTCCAGTGGCGAGAGAGGTGTGTTGAAGTCTCCCATGATTATGGTATGGTGGTCTATTAGACTCTTGAACTTGAGAAGAGTTTGTTTGACGAACATAGCTGCACCATTGTTTGGGGCATAAATATTTATGATTGTTATGTCTTGTTGGTGTATGGTTCCCTTAAGCAGTATGTAGTGTCCCTCTTTATCCCTTTTGATTAACTTTGGCTTGAAATCTATTTTATTTGATATGAGTATGGACACTCCTGCTTGTTTCCGAAGTCCATATGAGTGATATGATTTTTCCCAACCTTTCACCTTCAGCCTATGTATGTCTTTTCCTATCAAATGTGTCTCCTGTAGGCAGCATATTGTTGGGTCTTGTTTTGTGATCCATTCTACTAGCCTGTGTCTCTTAATTGGTGAGTTTAAGCCATTAACATTTAGGGTTATTATTGAGATATGGGTTGTTCTTCCAGCCATATTTGTTTATTTCTGTTACTAAACATGGTTTGTTTTCCTCTTTGATTATTTTCCCCCCTTTACTGTCCTACCTCCCACTGTTGGTTTTCATTGTTATTTTCCATTTCCTCTTCCTGTAATGCTTTTGCGAGGATGTTTTGAAGAGATGGTTTTCTAGCTGAAAATTCTTTAAACTTTTGTTTATCGTGGAAGGTTTTAATTTCATCTTCCATCCTGAAGCTTAATTTCGCTGGATACACAATTCTTGGTTGGAACCCATTTTCTTTCAGTGTTTGAAATATGTTATTCCAGGATCTTCTAGCTTTCAGAGTCTGTGTTGAAAGATCAGCTGTTATCCTGATTGGCTTACCCTTAAATGTAATCTGCTTCCTTTCTCTTGTAGCTTTTAAAATTCTCTCCTTATTCTGTATGTTGGGCATCTTCATTATAATGTGGATCTCTTATGATTTTGCACATTCGGCGTCCTGTAGGCTTCTAGGATTTGGGATTCTGTCTCATTCTTCAAGTCTGGGAAGTTTTCTCGTATTATTTCATTGAATAGATTGCTCATTCCTTTGGTTTGGACCTCTATACCTTCCTGTATCCCAATGACTCTTAAGTTTGGTCTCTTTATGTTATCCCATATTTCTTGGATGTTCTGCTCATGGTTTCTTAACAGTCTTGCTGAGCTGTCTATGTTCTTTTCAAGTTCAAATACTTTGTCTTCATTGTCTGATGTTCTATCTTCTAAGTGTTCTACTCTGCTGGTAGTATTCTCCATTGAGTTTTTAAGTTGGTTTATTGTTTCCTGCATTTCTAGGATTTCTGTTTGTTTGTTTTTTATAACCTCTATCTCCCTGTATAGTTGATCCTTTGCTTCCTGGATTTGTTTATGTAATTCATTGTTGAAGTGATCTTTCATTGTCTGATTTTGCTGTCTAATGTCTTCCTTGATACTCCAGATCATCTGAAGCATGTATATCCTGAATTCTTTATCTGACATTCCATCTGCTGCAGCTATTACCTCTTCTAAAGTTGAGTTGACCTGCATTGTTTGTGGTCCTTTCTTTCCTTGTCTTTTCATACTGCTCGCATTTCTTTCTGCTTGGTGAAACTGTTGTGTTTTTGAAATTTTCCCCCTATATATCTATATTGCTCTTGTATAGTTGAAAAGTCTCCCTTGCAGGGGCAGGCGGCTGCTGTGCTCCTCCTCCAATCGGGGTGATCTGTCTACTACGCTGACGGGCCGCTGGGGCTTTTCTGCCGGTCGGTCGCAGGTCTGCCTACATTGCAGGCACGTGCGGCGGCTCTGCTCTGCCCCTACTCCAATTGGTATGACATGTCTACCACGCCCGCGGACCCCTGGGCCTGCTCTGCCAGTCTGTCGCAGGTCTGCCTACCTTGCAGGCACGGGCGGCGGCTCTGCTCTGCCCTTACTCCAATTGGGGTGACATGTCTACCACACTGGCGGGTCGCTGGGCCTGTTCCGGGCGCAGGAGGAGGCTCTGCTCTGCCCCTACTCCAATTGGGGTGACGTGACTACCACGCCGGCGGGTCGCTGGGCCTGTTCTGGGCGCGGGCGGCGGCTCTGCTCTGCCCCTACTCCAATTGGGGTGACATGACTACCGCGCCGGCGGGTCGCTGGGCCTGTTCCGGGCGTGGGCGAAGGCTCTGCTCTGCCCCTACTCCAATTGGGGTGACGTGACTACCGCGCCGGCGGGCCGCTGGGCCTGTTCCGGGCATGGGCGAAGGCTCTTCTCTGCCCCTCTGGCTTGATGACAAATTGAGAGAGACTCGGGTGTTTGTGACTCACTTTCTTTACCAGGAGACCAACTGTTTCTGTCGCCGCTAGTATCAACGAAGTTCTCTCCTCCGCCGCTTTCTGATGACATCAAATCTCTGCCATGTTGGTATCCCATGCGAATGGCAGCACCTCGTTCCCTTTGCCGGGTGACCAAAGCAACGGGTGAGTCCTGACCGGCCCTCACAAGCCCCGTCTCAATCCTGTTGCCACTGCCTATGAAGGCTCGGTTGGTATTTACCTCCACAGTATTCAGCAGGATCCAGACCGAGAAGCAGTTTCCGCGGGTTCTTTAGCCCTGGGCCAGAGCAGTTTCGGGAGCCGGAATTCGGCCACTCCGGGCTCGGTGTATGTTCTGATAGGAGCAGGCTCCAAGAAGCAGTTTCCGCAGGTTCTTTAGCACTGAGCCTGAGTAATTTGTCTGTGAGACGCAGGCGAATGGCAGCCTGAAATTACCTGTTCTATGGCTGAATGAGCTGCGATCAGTCGAAAACAGGGATGGTGACATCAGCTCTCCAAGATGGTGGCCGCTGGCTTCCTCTGTGGTCTGACCGGTGTGGATAACCAAATTGGACCGCTTCCTTCCCCCATCTCAAACCCAGAATTCAGCCCCGAGCACGGTGATTGCACAGCTGGCATAAGCCCGCAGAATCCGCAGCGCTGTTTCTTTGTGTTGCTATCTCGTCGTTTCCCAGCGCGCGCCGCAGACTCTAGCCGCGGGGCGATTTGCTGAATAAGCAGCGTGACCCTCCGTGTGGACAAATCACTCATGTTTGAGCCCACGTAGCTGATCCTCGTGCGATGGTAATCCTTCCTCTAGGTTTTGGAGCACCCCAATTTTGCTGGAAATTCCTAACAAGATAGCTTTTAGCCGTTCTAACTCGTCATTCTCCCGCACAGTGACGCGGTACACAGGGCTGATGCACTCCCTTCGCCGCCATCTTCCCAAACAGAAAATCTTGAAGGAATTAATAAACCAAATTAAAAATTCAAAGGAAACCATCACCAATAAATTAGACCACTTTGAATATACATTTTCAGGCCTTGAAGACAAACTATTCTTTAAAATGAAGTAGGTCATAGAGAAAAGATGTTGATATTATGAACAGAATATTCAAGAAATCTAGGATAACATTAAAAGGCCAAATCTAAGATTCCCTGGGATAGATGAAGGCTCTGATATATAAACTAAAGGAATGCAAAATCTTTTCAATGACATAATATCAGAAAATTTCCAAACTTTAAGAATGAAATGGAAAATCAAATATGGGAGGCATATAGGACTCTAAATATACAAAACCACAGCAGATCCACTCCAAGACACATAATTAGGACTCATTATTATGAAACAGATCCACTCTAGGACACATTATTATAAAATGTCTCTGGAGGACAATTTGATAAAAGCTATTAAAATTAAAAATGTGCAAACCCAGGGAACTTGTTTCTGGGAATATCCCCTAGGCAAATGTGTATGTATTTCTAATTATACACACACATATAAAAACTAATAAACCAAGACAATGAATAACTACAGAAAAACTGAATAAATTAATAGAAAAGAAAACATAGTTCAGCAGTGGGTAATATTTATATAGTTAAAAAAATTCTGTAAAATACTGGCTATTTAGCTCAAGTCATAGTATAATCTAGCCATACAGAGGATGAGTAGAAAGGAAAAAAGTGCATTGCATATCCTCATTTCACTTTAATTACTTAATATCTAAAACTGAAAAATCAAGAAGCAACATAAGCATGGTACTGAGATGTATGAAGGGGAATAACAAAATAAAATTGTTGAAAAATGATTGTATTTAGAAGTAGTAGTTGGCAAAAGGCAGGTAATTGTTTTCAATGAGACTAATTTGCAAAACTATTTTGTTTTTAAGACTATACACATATATAAGTTGGAGAAACATAAAATTAAATAATAAAAAAATGGATAGGAGCAATAACATTTATGTTAAGACCAAGCCTGATTTTTTTAGGCTAGAAATTTCTCTTAGATAAGGTATTTTACCAAAAGCTAATTTGCACACAGCCTGGTGATCAATATTTTGAAAAAAAAAGTGATTTGAATAATGCTAAAAGTTGAGTATCTTTATTGTAAACTAGTATTTCTTAATTAGTATTATAAATATCTTCAGAAAAGATGAGAAATTATTAATTTGTTAGAAATAATGAAAACAAGACCATTCTTTTTCTCTACATGGTAGCTATGCTTTATTCTGTGACGTCTAGAAACTTACCTGAACAGAATAGCATCATCTGTTAGAAATTTTGGCAAGTTGGAGTCTCGTAAAGCTCTTATCAAAACCACATCTTCGCTTAGGTCTGGGTTCTCTCTTTTTAAAGACCTAAATTCAAGGAAATATTTCAGACTATGTTCCGAAAACATGAGATGGAATGTGATTTTCCGGAATTATGGGCCAGGGCTTCTGCTTGTAGAAAGCTGCAGGATGATTCCCATTCTATTTCCAAAATGTATCCATCTCTATTACATCACATGTTAAGTTCTGCACTGGATACATAGTCTTGAGGAGAATGAGAAGAACATCTTCTCAAATGCCCTTCCCCATTAACCCAGACTTTTATCCAACTTTAGCTTATAGTTCCTTGAATGCATCACCTTGACTCTCATCTTGTTACTTTTTTTCCCTGTCTGCCCAGAATGCCCTGCTTTGCTCTTTTGCCCACTCTAACTTACCTTTCAAAACCTAGCCCACTTACTCTATTCTCTAGAAAGTCTTCTATCTTCCATCTCACACTCTTGTGAACCACTGGCACAGCCCAATTTTGCCCTTACCACATTGTATAGATGACTGAATATTTGTCAGTTTTGTCCACTGAACTTTTTGTTCAGTGTATTTGAACTCTTAGTTCCCTAGTCCCTTATTGGCAATCCTGTAAAGAGGATATGTACTGAATCTAGGAGGATAAAAGAAAGAATGGAGTCTAGAAAGGACAAAAGAGATTTGTGCAAAGCTACAGGATCACACACAACAGGGGCCCTGGACGTTCTGAGCCTGAGTCAGTGAGTCATTCCCGAGAGGAAGGACTAGAAAGACTAGAGTCTCCAAAAGACTCCAGGCAAGTTGGGGATTCCAGATATTGTCATTTCAGGTAGTTATAAAGAGAAAACTTAGGGTTTGAAAATTCCTCATTTTCTTGCCTTGCTAGAAACTAGAATGTAGTCCAATCTTGGATTGCACTGCAAAAACAGAGATAGAATGTATGGCATAAACCTGAACTGAAAATAGGATGACAAAATTTCTTTCAACTCTTGGGGATTTTTAAGGCAACACGTATAAATCACCTTAGCATATATGCATATCAAACTATGTGCTTTTTAAGTCTTGTCATCCTGTCTGATGATATCAAAGGCTTTTGTACACTAAAACCCAATATATGCTATGACTTTAGGGAAAATGAAACTTAGCTGAAGCCTAGTTGGATTCAGGAGAGCAACCATATTGGGACTCAGTGAAGATCTGTCACATATCATGGGAGAGTCACAGGAAGAATGCTGCAAAAGCAGCCAATAACATTTATTAGTCACTTGCTATGGATTAAGTGTTGCTGTAAGAGCCTCCTGTGAGTGACCCACTTAATGCATTTGATTACAGAGTTTGGAAGTTTCACTCTCAATTAATTTGGTTTCTTACCCAGCCATGACCAATACAGACTTCACAGCTCTCATGCCAAAATCATAGTGATCCTGTTGAGAGAGCTGTTCACTGCAAAGCTTATACATCTGGGTCATTTTTCTTGCTAATGTTTTACTGGATTCAAATCCTTCAGAATATAGGATTACCTAGAACAGAAAAATTTAACACAATACTTCTTATATTGTATTGATGACAATATATTAGTATGATACCAATATATTAAAAATCAACTTCTTGACTTCATGCCTTTTAATGTTTTTATATTATTTAATAAAGACATGTGAAGAGTGAAGGGAAAAGAATTTTCAGGGCCACAATAAGGGGTCAGGTAGAATATTATAGGTAATAGCAGGAAATTGATTTTCTTTCTCTGTATAAATGAAGATGTGGGCTTGGTGACTTTTAGTTCAAGGAATAGCAGAGTTCAATTTTTAGAAATGTACAAATAGAGGTTGGATGGTATCGTAACTCCTGAGTACAAAATCAAGAATTGGACTTCTCTAATCTGACAAAAAGGCCACCTTGGTGGAGAGTACCAGTGATGGCCACTTGCTCTCTTTAGGTTCCCTGGGAATCAAGGGAAGCTACATAAAGATTTGTAGCTTCTCCCTATAAGACTACCTTGCTCCTGAAAAATTTCTGCATCCTTGGTTAAATTAGTTGAATAAAGCCTGACATCTTTGACAGTGGAGGTAGAAATGGACCCTTCCTTTTACCCATAATCTGCCCTAACCACTGCAGAATTTGAAGGATGAATAGATGTCTTACAAGGTCTGTTTTGTTTACTGCTTTTAATTACTGATTTGCAGTGTTTTGCACACAGGTGATAAAAATGTTTATTGATGACAGACTCTGACTATTCTCAATCTGTAACAAGAGGAGTAACATTCAGAAGATGAGATTTTTAAATTTGCCCCCTCAATACTGACTAACAGCAATAGTACAAAATATGAGATGAAAAAAATATATTGCACTGGGCTTTAAACCCAGTTTAGTTTCTACCAGGTGGGACAATGAGCAAGAAATAATCATCCATGTCCACAGAGAGAATCATAGTGAAGCCAACACCCATCTTAACTGCTTTCCCCCCCCCACCATGCCTACAAAAGTTATTGAGGATACTGAGCTTTTGAGCTGTAATTCTTGCAATGACAGGACTTGGCATGGTCTATTCTGATGTTAATCAATTACCTTAACTTTATAGAGAATATTTTAAATTATCTGTTATCAAAGGAATTTATTAGCTATAGGAATAATCTGTGTTTTCTAAGAAATTCCATTCTTAAAAGAAAGAGTGGTGTCTCGTTATGAAAAGCAGTGCTGAACATAAGGGGCCTCCTGGAGTCTGACAATATTTTGGTCTTGGTGGTCAGACAGATGAATACATGTGTAAGAATTCACTGAGTTTTACCCTTGTGAGCCTGTGCCCTTTATTGCATACAGACCGTACCTTAATCCAAGTTCCTTGAAAAATAAATATGATACTTAAGAACATTTATTCTTAGCTAGTATTAAGGAATAAATACCATTGAAATTAGAAATAAAATATGTCTTGTTAGATAAAGGTAGAACAAACAATATCACAATTAATTTATTAGTGATTACTGTTTTCTTACTAATTATTATAGACTGACAAACCAATCCTTCCATCATATTGATTAATATAGTTTCTACTCAGCATTCCTTGATTCTAACAACAACAAAAATGCATAAAGGGAAGTGAGAATAATATAGTATTTCAAGAACCAATACTTACATTTTAACTCCTAGAGATGAACTGATAAAACCACAAATGAACTGGTTAATGAAACTCATGGATTTATTCCAGTTTTAAGGGCCTACTATAATTGCAGCAAAAAACAACTACCAAAACCAAGCATGCAGAATAAACATTCTATGTGATAACAATCATATCTACAATAAAAGAAATCACGTTGAAAATTTTGCTTCTTAATAATAAAAAAAATAGAAAGCTTACCTCTGCAATCAAAGCATAATTTGGAACCATCATTGCCATTGGTCTAAATAGAGCCTTCAAATTATCTGGCAACTCGGTTCTGCCAGCATATCCAGGATTCATTGTGATGAAGGCTGCACAAGTCATAACCAACTTTATTTCTCTTCCCTCAAACATGAATCTAGAGAGCTATTTAAAAAGAAAGTATAAATTAACCCTTCTCCAGGCATTTGTAAATTCTCACATAATAACTGAGCATGAAACATTCAAGCAAAGACTACTGAATCCTGTTGTTGGGACAACAGGGAGCATTTCTCTTCTGATTCTATTCTACCTACTTCCAATCTCTGGGTTCAGTGTTTCATATTCTCTGCTTCCCTGCCCCTTCCTTGACCAATATTTCTCTTCTTTCCTGGTCCAATCCTGAAATCTTCTAGGCCTCAATATCTTTTGCTTAGACTCTTCAGTTCAACTGTCACTAAACGTTCTCCACTCCCACTTTCTGGTATTTTCCAAGAAATTCTAATCTATTCTTAATCTTTGGTGCCTTTTCACTTTCATTCAACAGCAGAGGCTTGTTAAGCACTTATTGTGGATGAGGCTCTAAGTTAGCCATGGAGGCACAAAGCTGAAGGAAACTTGACTCTTGAGAAGCTCTAGGTTTGTTGTGTGCCATCAGACTTAGACAGTATGACAACATGGTGCTAAAAATATTATAGTGGAGGTATGAGCAAAGCCTCCCTTGGGAGAGGCAGTTTGCTTAAGACCTGAACAATTAAGAAGGACATTTCAGCTACATAAGCAGGAGCAGCCTTTCCTGGCAAAATGAGCAGGAGGAAGAAAGAGCCCTGCATGTTCCAGGAATGACCAGCAATCTACTTTGCTACAAAGTAAAAGTATAGCTAGGTTGGGGCCTGGGCATTTAGAGTCTTGCACACTAAACTGAAGAATTTAGTTTTAGTCCCCTGGTTGAGGGGAAACAGAGGATTCTTGTAAGCAGAGTGATAGGAACAAAGATGGTAGTGGAGAGGTTGGACAAACTACAGACAGGGAGTCTATTAAAGAACTGTCACTAGCAAGAAGATGAAAGCCAGAATTTGAGAGGTGTTAAGTGGGGATGAGAGGCACCTAGTAGGTATAATTAATATAATTTGGTGACATTTTAGATTCTGGGTTGATAACAGACAGAGGCAAATTCAGGGTTTCTAGTTGGGCCACTGTATGAAGGTGCTAAAACAAACACGAGGAATAAGGGAAAGACCAGGGCAGAGCTAGGGCAATGTGTCGTTGCTAGATGAGGCCAATTCTCCTGATGTTAAAAGACTAAATGTGCTGTTCAAATCCTCCATCTCTGTGCTTTATTTCTTCTATACCAGGGGATGCATCCCACTCCAAGTATTTCATCTGGCCACTAGAAACTGAGGATAAGGTTGGTTAATCTCAGAGTCCTCCTACTTTCCCTAACCCTCACATGGTAGCTCTTGAGCTGGCAGTGCTTCTATTTTCTCTGGTCTTTGCTCCCCATCCTCCTCCAGTTTTGTTTTCAATTATTCAGCAGGATGATAATGATTTACTGGTTATATCTGAAAGTCCTTGTCTTTAATATAGACATCCCCAGAGTATGTTGCAAGGAGGAGGGTGGGTAGATGAAGGAGTTCAGACTTCAGGGTCACATAGATTTAGGTGTGTATCTTAGTATTATGATGTCTACTAAATATTTTTTAACTTTTAATCCTTCTTACCTATAACTTTGAGAAAGTACCATATACTACACAAAAGTTTGGTGTAAAGATGAGATAAATGTAAAGTATACCACAATGACTTTTTATCAGTTATTAAAGTCTAATTCCTCATTTGTTTTCTTCTTATTTGTTCTATAATTTGTTTCTTTATAGAGACAATAACCAAAAACTTAACAACTCTTTATCAGGGCCCCTTTTGATATGAGTGGTTCCTGTTCCAGAGGGGGAGTTGAAATGTCCCCTGCTCTGTCAGGTAAAACCTTACTTATAGAGCTTGAGGACATCTGAGGCTTTATTGACAGGGGCCTAGGGAATAGTGGGGGACCCTTGAGGGGCTTGGAGGGATTTTGGTTTGTATGGGCTGTGCGTCACTGCTGCCTTTCAGTGACTAAAGCTCAGAAGGTCAATACAGAGCATTAGGAGTCTTGGTCTCATCTTTCATTGCAATCAGCTTCCATTACAATATCCCCTTCTTCAAAACATATTCATATGTGGCTGAAACAAACTTTAAATAACAAGACTACTACAAACATTCATTTGACCCTATACTCCTTAGATTTTCTAGTCCAGTGAGCTCTGGAGTGCCAAGGTCCTCTTGGATTTCCTAGGATTTCTACCCATTTTTTCCACCAGCAGTAAGCTAAGCCTGGGGGCTATAATGAAGACAGTGAAGTTCATAAGAGGCAATCTTAGAGAAACAGAAACAAGAAGGGCAGGGAGCCGGCTTAGTGGTACATGCCTGTAATCCCACCGGCTTGGTAGGTTGAGGCAGGAGGATCTTGAGTTCAAAGCCAGCCTTGGCAAAAAGCAAAGTGCTAAGCAACTCAGCTAGACCCTGTCTCTAAATTAAAAATACAAAATAGGGCTGGAGATGTGGCTCAGTGGTTGAGTGCCCCTGAATTCAATTCCCAGTATGCCCCTCCCCGCAAAAAAAGGAAGTGAAAGGAGAGAAAAAGGAAGTGGAGAGCAGAGGAACAGGGTGTGAATATGTGAGGAAGAGCTTCACAGGTTCTTAAAGACTCTAAGACATGGAAGACACAAATCTGAAGACTTTAAAAAAAAAAACCTTAGAAAATTTTATTTATGTAAGTTTTTGTTATTTTTCAAAGGCACTCTAGGAGGTTGACAGCATGAGACTACTATGGAACTGAATCTCATAGTCTCTGTATCGTCACAGCACTGATTTTTCTCTGTGTTGCTTGGATGCAGAATTAATTCATCCAATTAAGTCCTGTTGCTGTAGCATTCATCAATTAAACCAGAAATATGAACTAGATAGGCTAAATCTAGAATTTTATTTCCTCAAATACAACAAGCTGTGTGTTAGCTACTAACTTAAGATAGAGAATTGACCAATCCTTACTTTTGCGGCTTTGGCATTCCTAATGGTGATGAGTTGCTGTGCAATCACTGACAAAACTTCTATGTCTATTCGATTAAATTCATCGAAGCAGCACCAGGCTCCTGACTGGGCCAAACCACTAAAGAAGCGCCCCATCATCTGAAATCAAAATAAAGTCATTCACCTTTGAATTACACAGTTTAATTCCTTCAAAAGCTAAATTTTGAGCTGAAGTATTAAACAGAAGAGGTGTTATCTACAAATAAGCAATGGTTTTAAGTAAATAGTGGGCTGTCAGATGTAAGAAGTTTTCTACAAGAAATCTTTTTGCCTCTCTCCAAGCTTTGAATCTAATTTTTACTTTTAAATAACAAAATAATCTGACCAATTTTCTTTCTTTTTTAAAATAATCCTACTCATCTCCACAAATACTTGACAGGTTCTCAAGACTCTAAGACATGGAAGACAAAAATTTAACGACTTAAAAAAACCCTTAGAAAATTTTATTAATGTAAGCTTTTGTTATTTTTCAAAGGCACTCTAGTGGTTGACAGCACATGACTACTACTGAGCAGAAGGCATCACTGCACAGGTTAAAGTACAGGTTCTTGCTTTTTTCTATAGCAGAATCCTCATGACAGAAGAAAATGAGTATGTACTGCTGCTATCTAAAGTGTACAATTTCTTTGGAGACTTGAATTTTGGATTGATACATGTTGCACTATCCATCTCTTTAAAAACAGAGCTAATGGGTTTTCTGTCTCTTAGGTGTTCAACTGAGCATGCACTACCTCACCTTATTCTAATTCTCATAAATTGTAGAAAGACAGGTGGACATGTGTGTATCTCTCTACATTTCTGTGTCTATACTTGTATTAGGTTTGACAGAAACATAACAGAAAGGGAAACTGGTAGTATGAAGAGAGTTTTGAAAAAATTATTGGAAGATGGAAAATACATGGAAACAGATTGCCTAATTGAGAAGGGAAAATTGCAGACCCAAGGCAGAGAGGGAGGAGAACTGCCCTTTAGTGGTACCTACAAGAAACTCCAAACCCAACATCAGTACATGTAAGGAAATCAGGAACAGGCTTTAGGGCAATCTTTGGAAATCAGCCAAAGATCAGCACTTGGAAAAATCAGGTTTTTGGGTCCTTTATCTCTCTGTAACAGGACTCTTGAGATTTCAGTACTGACTTTCTTTTACCAAGCTAAAACTCAAGTACTGCCTTCTCTAGAAAAGAGATCTGCTTTGGGGAGTTATTGGGAGAAGACATTAGCTAGAGAGATAAAGGAAGAAGAGACAGGAAAGAAAGATAAATTCAAATTTCTATTTTAGTTATTGAAATTCAAAGATAATAAAGAAAAGACAGCTCCATCCAAGGGTAAACTCCATTGAAATATACCTCTTTGAAAGAAAAATTTTTATTTGACACTTAATAGGGGCTTCCTGATATTTGGCTTCTCCATAGGACTGCTGTGACAATTTGCATAAACTGGGGAAGCATGCTGTCCACACATCCTATACTTCTACAATACTCACAATAGCTCCTTCATTCAGAGAAGGACATTTTGAGTAAACAAGCTACCCACACTAGTCCAATCCATACTTCTGAACTGAAAAGTGAAGAGCAACAGACAATTGAGAGAAATCAGAGAGATTTAGGAAGATGGCGGCGAGGGGAGTGCATTGCCCCCGTGTGCTGCTTCACTGTGTGGGAGTATGACAAGTCAGGATGGCTAAAGGCTATCTTGTTAGGAATTTCCAGCAATAGTGGGGTGCTCCGGAACCTGGAGGAAGGATTTCCATCGCACGAGGATCAGCTACGGGGACTCAAACGCGAGAGGTTTGTCGCACGGAGGGTAACACTGCTTATTCAGCAAATCGCCCCGCGGCTAGAGTCTGCAGCGCGCACTGGGAAACGAGGAGATAGCGACGCAGGGATACAGCGCTGCAGTTTCTGCCAGCCGTGCAAGCACCGTACTCAGGGCTGAAATCTGGGTTCGAGACGGGGGAAGGAAGCGGTCCATCTCGGTTCTCCACACCGGTCAGACCACAGAGGAGGCCAGCAGCCACCATGTTGGAAAGCTGACGTCACCATCCCTGTTTTCGACTGACCGCAGCTCATTCAGCCATAGAACAGGTAATTTCAGGCTGCCATTCGCCTGCGGCTTGCAGACAGATTGCTAGGGTTCAGTGCCTGGGTGCTTCTTAGAACCTGATCTTATCGGAGCGAACACTGAGTGCGGGGCGGCCGAGTTCCGGCTCCCGGAACCGCCCTGGCCCAGGGCTGCGGAGCCTGCAGAGGCTGCTTCTTGGACCCTGCTCCTATCAGAGCATACACCAAGCACTAAGCGGCCGAATTCCGGCTCCCGGAACTGAGCCCGCGAGGACTGCTTCTTGGAGCCTACTCTTATAGGAGCTTACACCGAGCACGGAGCGGCCGAGTTCCGGCTCCCGGAACTTCCCTGGCCCGGGGCTAGGAGCCCGCGGAAACTGCTTCTCTGTCCGGGTCCTGCTGAGGGCCGGTCAGGACTCACCCGTTGCTTTGGTTGCCCGGCAAGGGGAACGAAATGCTGCCATTCGCATAGGATACCAACATGGCAGAGATCTGATGTCATCAGAAAGCGGCGGAGGAGAGAACTTCATCAATACCAGCGGCGACATAAACAGTTGGTCTCCTGGTAGGGGGGGTGAGGCACAGACACCCAAGTCTCCTCAATTTGTCGTCGAGCCAGAGGGGAGGAGCCGGGCCGCTGCCAGCACCCGGAGCAGGCCCAGCGGCTCGCCAGTGTGGTGACCGCGTGACCCCAATTGGAGGGGGGGCGGAGCGGAGCCGCCACCCGCACCCGCAAGGTGGGCAGACCCGCGACCCAGTGGTACATGGGCGTGGTAGGAGGAGCAGGGCAGAGCCGCCATTCGTGCTTGCAAGGTAAACAGACCTGTGACAGCCTGGCGGGTCAGGCCCAGTGGCCTGCCAGTGTGGTACACACGTCACCCCAACTGGAGTAGGGGCAGAGCAGATCCTTCTCCCACGCCCGGATCAGGCCCTGCTGGTGTGGTGGCCATGTGACCCCAATTGGAGTGGGGGCGGAGCGGAACCGCCACCCGTGCCCGCAGGGTAAGCAGACCTGTGACCAACCTGAAGATCAGGCCCAGGTGTCCGCAGGCATGGTAGGAGGGGCAGGGCAGATCCGCCGCCCGTGCCTCCAAGGTAGGCAGACCTGCAACAGACCGGCGGATCAGGCCCAGGAGACTGCCGGCGTGGTACACACACCACCCTAATTGGAGTAGGGGCAGAGCAGAGTCGCCGCCCGTGCCAGGAACAGGCCCAGCGTCCTGCAGGCGGGGTAGTCACGACACCCCAATTGGAGTAGGGGCAGAGCAGAGCCTCCACCCGTGCCCGAAAGGTGGGCAGATCTGCGACCGACCAGCGGGACAGGCCCAGTGGCCTGCCGATACGACAGACACGTCACCCCATTTGGAGTAGGGGCAGAGTAGAGCCGCCGCCCGCGCCTGCAGGGTAGGCAAACCTGCAACCGACCGGCGGATCAGGCCCGGTGGCCTGCCGGCGTGGTACACTCGTCACCCCAATTGGAGTAGGGGCAGAACAGAGCCGCCGCCAGC